TTTCTTTAAATTAAAGGTATAGTAAATAGTAGTTTCTTTATAGTAATATCTAATTTATTAGGGAATAGGTAAAAGTATTCTTTTATTTAGGTAAGAAATAAGGTTATATTAGCTACCTATCCTTTAAAGGGTTTTAGCTTAAGGGGCTTAAGTACTTCTCTAAGGTCTTATCCTTATAGGTTATTAGTATTATTATTAGTAAGTATATTATTTTACTACTTATTAACTTATATCTATAGGTTATAAATAATATTATATAACTATTAGATTTTAGCTATAAGTTTAGTTATACTAAGAGGTACTTTTATATAAAGAGGTGCTAGTTTAGTATTAGTATTATTAGATATTTTAATAATATAATATTACTTAGTAATTTTTAATATAATATATTTTAAATAAGAGCTATTAATATATAATAAATATAGTTTTAAATAGGGAAACTAGTTTATATTAGGTTTATATTTATAGATAGTATAAGGTGTTAATACTAAGTAGGTTAATTATTATATCTCTTAATAGTTAATAATATAATTTAGGCTTATAAAGGTAAAGAAGTCTTATTAATAGCTAGTAAGCTAAGTTTTATAAAATACTAATAAATATAATTTATATATTAAAGGTAATTTATAAGGATTACTAAGGTAATTAAATTATAATAATTTTAAATTATAGTAATTCTTAGAGTATTATAATCTTACTTATAAGGTAATTTAGTTTTAATTAATTTATAATTATTAAGGGGCTAATGCCTTATATAAGTTTTTATAAGGTATATATAATATAACTACTAGGGTTATAATATTAAAAACCTAATTAAATTAAGAATATATTAAAAGAATTTTATATATATATTAATATATTTAATTTTAATAAGATAATTATTATTTTTAATTATAAACCTAATATAATTAATAAGTATATAACTTAGATAAGTATAAAACTTATTTTTTTTAACTTTTTTAAATTATAACTTAAAAGCTTAAGTTATAATTTAAAAAGGCTAGTTTTTACTTATTAAATTCCTTCTTAAATAACTTAAGAATTACCTAATAAGTTCTTATATTATAACTGCCCTTATTATATATATTATAATACTAATTACCTTATTATTTTAACCTTTATTAATTATTATTTTTTAATAATTTAGTTATTACTTATATATTAATATCTATTTAATAAATTACTTATAATACTTCTTATATAATTATAATCCTTTCTTTTTATAATTTAATCTTTTTTACCTTTTAATATTAACTTAGTATCTTTTTTATATCTTAAAGATTATAAAGCTTAGCCTTTAATAAGATAACCTTATATATAATTATCTTTATTATTTTAATAATTAACTTTAAAGCTTTAATAATAAACTCTAGGGAGTTATTATAATACCTTTTAATTTACCTTTTAAGATATTTAAATTAAGATTAGGCTTTAATTATTATCTTTAAAGTCTTTAAAGCCTATAATATTAATAATTAAATAGCCTCCTTAAGAGGTATTAAAATCTATAGCTATATATTAAGCTTTAAGATTATAATTTTTAAATTAAAAGAAATAAGCCTAGCTTTTTTAAAACCCCCTTAAATATTACTTTTTATAAAACTAGCTTTAAATATAATATAAAAGGCAAAAAAGAGTTAAATCTTAGAAATATAAATAATAAAGTATTTAATTAAATATTTTATTTCTTAATTATAAGCCTATTTTAATAGCCTAAAGTACCTAATATTAAGAGGCTAAAGTAAATAAGATATATAAGTAAATATATAAAATATAATAATTTTATTTTTTTTATAATATTTCTTAAAATTAGCTAAGTAATAGCTTTTATAATTATTAAGAATTAGGAGATTATAATAATTAATTAATTAGTTTTTTATAAACTAATTAAAGTACTTTAGCTACTTAAGACTTAGCTTATTGTTTATTTATTTATTTTAACTTATTATAATAACCTAATTACTTAAGAAGTTATATTTTTAATATTAATTTATAAGATAATATTAGCCTATATTAATAATAAATAATATAATTAATTAAACTTTTATATTAATTACTTAAATTATAGTAATTTATTCTTAGTTTCTAGGCTATATTAATTTTAGCCTTTTTTATATTTTTAATCCTATAATAGCTATTTTAATTATAATAAGGCCTATTATAAAGTTAATCTTATTAAAGTTTTAAATATTATCTAATTAGATAATATATATAATAAGTAAGTAATATAAATAAATAAGTAGTATAAAAGTCCCTTATTTTATATTAATACTATCTAATTAATTAATTCTTAATTAAATAATATATTATAATTTACTATTAAGGCTTATATAAATCTTATACTTTAGGCCTATTAGGAAGACCTAAAATTAAGTTTATAATAAGTTATATTTCTATAATATAGTTAATAAGTATATATTATAAATAAGTATATATTATACCTTCCTTAACCTTTTTAACCTATAGCTTAAAAGCTTAAGCTATAGTTTAAAAAGGCTGGCTTTTACTTATTAAATTCCTTCTTAAATAACTTAAGAACTACCTAATAAGTTCTTATATTATACCTGCCCTTATTATATATACTATAGCATTAACTACCTAGTTACTTTAACCTTTCTTAACTACTACTTCTTAATAATTTAATTACTACTTATATATTAATATCTATCTAATTAATTACTTATAATATTTCTTATATAATTATAATTCCTCCTTTTTATAATTTAGTCCTTTTTACCTTATAATATTAACTTAGTATCTTATTTATATCTTAAAGATTATAAAGCTTAGCCCTTAATAAGATAACCTTATATATAACTACCTTTATTACCTTAGTAGCTAACTTAAAAGCTTTAATAATAAACTTTAGGGAGCTATTATAATACCTTCTGATTTGCCTTTTAAGGTATTTAAACTAAGATTAGGCCTTAATTACTATTTTTAGGGTCTTTAAAGCCTATAGTATTAATAGTTAAGTAGCCTCCCTAGGAGGCATTAAGGTCTATAGTTATATATTAAGCTTTAAGATTATAATTTCTAAGTTAAAAGAAGTAAGCCTAGCTCCTTTAAAACCCCCCTAGATATTACTTTTTATAAAGTTACCTTTAAATATAATATAAAAGGCAGAAAAAAACTTAGTCTTAGAAATATAAGTTATAAAGTATTTAATTAGATGCTTTATTTCTTAACTATAAGCTTATTTTAGTAGCCTAAAGCACCTAATATTAAGAGGCTAAAGTAAATAAGATATATAAGTAGGTATATAAAATATAATAATCTTATTCTTCTTATAATATCTCTTAAAATTAGCTAAGTAATAGCTTTTATAATTATTAAAGATTAGGAGATAATAGGGATTAGTTAATTAATTAATTATAAACTAATTAAAGTGCTTTAACTACTTAAGACTAAGCTTATTATTTATTTACCTATTTTAGCTTATTATAATAACTTAATTGCCTAAGAGGTTATATTCTTAGTATTAATTTATAAGGTAATATTAGCCTATACCTATAATAAATAATATAATTAATTAACCTTTTATATTAATTGCCTAGATTATAATAATTTATTCCTGGTTTTTAAATTATATTAATTTTAGCCTTTCTTATATTTTTAAACTTATAATAGCTATTCTGGCTATAATAAGGCCTATTATAAAGCTAGTCTTATTAAAGTTCTAGATATTATCTAATTAGATATTATACTTTATAATTATATTTTATATAAGCCTAAATTAATTATAAATAATAATTAGATATTTATATTTAGCTCTCTAATAATTATATTTATAAAATAAATATATTTTTAGCTTTAGTTATTACCTTATAAAGTTATAAGCCTAGTACTTATTAATAGGTTATATATTATAGTTAATAAGCAGAGAAGTAGTTATTTCTTTTATAAAATATAATTATAAGGGAAATCTTTAGGAATCTAAGTTAAGGATAAATTAAATTATTATTTATTTCTTTAAATTAAATAATTTTTATAACTTTAGGATCTAATTATATTATAATTAAATACTATTATAGTAGTAATATAATATATACTTAGAGATCTTATAGTCTTTTATAATATATTAGATATTAAGTTTTAGATTATTTTAAAGGGCCTAAAGTATAAGAAGGGTTTTAGTTTTATCTAAAGGTTATATTATTTTTAATTATTAAGAATTATCTAATTAAATAAAAAGTTAAATATAAGAGGGAAAAATATAATATATACTTATCTAATAATATATACTTATTAATTATATTATAATATTAACTTTTATAACCTTTATTACTAATCTTAGGGTATACTAGCTTATACTAATTATATCCCTGATAACTATTATTTGCGTCGACAGCCTGACAACTATTGTTTGCGTCGACAGCCTACTGTACCAAGGACTGCTTGTAATTTACTAAATTATACACTTTCTGTCCATGCGCGAGCTCCCTGTCATTATTACTTTCATGAAATTTACATCCTTTTTATCCGCGCACGCTGGTTAGTTTTCGAACACCACTACCGCTTCTGCCCCCTGTCAGGGGTTCAATGGCCGGAAGTCAACAAAGCAAGGTAGTCTTTCTTTTTCAAGTCTTCATGTCCACTTCGAGCACGTCGAGCTTACCGCTTCTGTTATTTAACTCATCGTGGTGCTACAAAACGCGGCCATAGAAGTCTTAACAAATCTTCAACTTTTTATTAACTACGATACACATACAGTTATCTGCTATAGAGAAGAGTGCTAATCTGCCCTCTCGATTACCGGCTCCCACGTTATAACCTATCTTCGCGAAAAGCATTATATTCCAGAAGATGCAAGAAAAGGACTTACAAAGATCTTAAGATCTATCCCAGGTCTGCTCAGCCCCAACCTCATTCAGCCTCGGAAAGACGGAATCATTAAGCATCCACACTTACGCACTCACGATGGTTTCCACTGCGACAGGGGGTGTAACTTCCGTACTGCCAGCTTTCAGCTAATTAAACGACATTTCTCCGACCAACAAATGCAAGGAAAATGTCTACATTTTGGTGAAACGCGATCCTTCAAAGATCTTGATTCTCTTTTCCACTATGTTTACCTACAAACATGGGCAAGTGGCCCAGGTCGACAATACTGGATCGTTAAGCGTAATGGGAGCCAGCAGCGACCCATTGGGGGCGAGGAAGTTCAAAATCATCTCAGATTAGTGCGCGAACGTGAACCACAACACAAGCAACCTGGACTACCGCTCAACCACCCTCCTCCTCAAGTATTCTTGCGAAAAACGTGGCGCGTTTCGTCTTTTGGACCAATCAGAGCCTTTAGATTTCTACCCCCATTTTTGGACTTAAAACGGGGCGCGTTTTTGTCTATCGACGTTTAGCTGCAACTCACAACGCCTCGCGTTTTCTGTCCCAATGTCCCGTGCCATCCCTATAGAAACGAATTGGGCTCTGGCTCATCTGCATTCTCCTTTCCAGCTAGTGATTCTGTGTCAACTGGTTAAAAACGATACTAGACCACGAGTATCCTACTTACAAAAGGCTTTACAGCCAACTCTCGTTAGAAAAACTTGTCGAGCTTGATTGCATTGGCCTAGTCCTATATACCAAATTCAACTCTACTAGAATTGATTTATTTTGCTTCACATTACAAGGGGTGGACTTGATTTTTGACTAGGAGTAGAATTAAATTTGCTAAAGTCACGAGCGGCAGGGTAGGCTTGACTTTTGCATTTATGACTTGGCCTCGATTCCACGTTAAGATCTGGCTATACACAGAATGGATTACGTATAGCTTCTGCTCAAATTTAGAGGTTCTAAGGAACTCCTTGCAGGCAATTCTGTACTGGAGATCATTGATGAGGTTTAGATGACCGGAAAATAGGGCTGCATAGTATGAAGTCTGGGGTCAAAGTTATTCTAAAAGAGTATTCTGGCTGAGGCTAAATAAAGATATTTCTGCGAGATTCAGTTAGCTCCGGCTTGATATGATTCCAGTCTTCATATCCCCAGATATCAGCTGTACAAATAGGGGCAGGGTTGGCAGGATCGTAAATGTCTTGGTCAAATTCGAGCGTCGACTAGAAAATGACAAATAAAATCTGCTGAAAATCAGCCATAACGGACAAGCATATAAAAAGTAGATAGAACTATAGTCCAAGGCGTAATTAAATAACTAGCAATACCAAATCCATTTTAATCTTGATTCGCGCCTTCTATCTTACTTTCTCTCCTATATTCTATCATCAATATCTTACAACTAGCAGAGCTTCTTGCCCAATGTCTAACAAGCAAGTCTCACATTCACTAATCGAGCCTAGAAAACCTGGTGCAGGGTAAATAAAGCTGATCTCGAATCAGGCAGCAATGATACCTACGTCGCTGGTGCCTTAGCTCAAATGCTTCAGATGATAGACAATAGAACATATCTTAAGCATTTGTTATTGACCTTACTTATAGGTCCCTTTAAACTTTAATTTCCTAATACAATGAATAACAACTCTAATATCTCTCTATACAACATTGTCACAAACTATGGCAAGTCAATTACATCGCTTCTCCTTAATATTAGTTAAAATAAACAGCCCCAGCGGAAATATTTATTATTTATCTAAGAATTAGAGTGTCTTAGACTTGAGAACTCTAGTGACGGACCTATGCTAATATGCCGCAAGATTAATGCCTTTGAGGAATAAGACTATGTCGCTCTGTCTTGCACCTGGGGCAACTCTGAACAGGAAAGCCCAGTGAAGGGAAAATATAAGTTTCAAACTAGAGGATATAAGCCCTAATTGTTCCCATCGCTGGTTCGGGACAGCGTTTTTAACCATGTATTTTCTTTTATGCGGGCAAAGGGTCTTAGCATGCTTTAGATCGATAGGCATTGCGTTAAGCAGAAGACCTATAAAACAAATATTATATGTGCCCTAGTGCTACAGTCTAAAATCAACTCTAGTAGAGTTGATTTTATTGACCCACTTTAAACCTAGTAGGGTTGGTTATTGCAAGGGTGTAGAGTTGATTTAATATTGTTCTATATACGGGAATAATAGTACTGATTAGAACAGGGGTTTATCCCAGAACACGACACGTCCTTTCGCATAAAGTGCTATAGGGGGGTATATCATACTACTTACTAACTGGTCTCATTAGTGATCAAAGCACCATCGTGATTCAGATTTTACTACCAGTCACCAAGTCACTATGACAATCACTATGACAGCTCAAACGTGCATTCTGAGCCGTGCATTCTGAGCCATGCAGTGCAATTTATCCCTACGTTCTTTTCTTTGCACACTGCTTTCTCGTGTGCCAGGTTTGTAGGTTGGCCTCCATAGCCGATGAGGTTGGTTATAGGGTAGGCGTGGTGGCGGTAGTGAACAAGGGGCAGATGCGGGCCCAGGAGGTAACTTAGAGTCCTACCCTCTACTTGGTCCTAGTAGTCAATAACAATAGGAACTCTAGTAGAGTTCCTTTAATTGCTCCACCCTCCAAGGGGTAGGGTTACTTTAAGCGACAGGGGTAGAGTTCTTTTTCATCCCAACCAATCATAAACTTATAGGCGTATTAGGTAAGAAGCGCGATAACGCGAAACAGGTGAACCCAAGTCAAGTATGCACAACAGAACTAGGTCTGAATCCAATGGGAAACCCATGCAAAATAAATCCACGCCAATGAAAATAGTGATCTGAATCCATTACCCCTCCACGGATTCAAGTCAACATCACAAAAATTAAAGGAAAATGTGTTGAGACAATCAGTCCCAAGCTACCACTCAACGTTGAGCATCTGTATCTTTATCCTATATCTTCTCTAAGAGGAGAGCAGCATATGAAGGCGATTCATGTTGTCCAAGGTACGAGCCTCGTTCTATGATCTTGGACGATAAGATATCCTAAAAGTGTTAATTGGCTCTCTGATCCGCCTACCTATCATTCGTCCATAACTGGCATACTATCAATGAATCACCCTGATTGACAGTACCACACCTAGCATATATGTTCTGCCTAGTCTTTTAGTCTCAATAGCACAAAGCACTACCTTACGAGCCAAAGAATATATAGCTGTGCTGGTACGATCCCAATGTCTAGCCCCATCACTATTAGGCATAGTCGTATATAATCCAGAGATAGTGTTCAGTCAGCCGAATATTATGCACCTCGTCTCTTGGCCTTAGCTCTCCAATCTTCGCAATATTACATGAGATGCCATAACTGCAACGTTAAGTGAAATTGAGGAAAACTTGGCTTGGAATGCTAATTCGGGCCCTAAAGAATAGATCGTAGTTTATTTGGCCGAAAAGTGTGCTGGTGGCTTTGAACCCTAAGTCGAATTTGCCTACTGGATTGAATCTAGAGCTGGAATTATAATGTAGAAAGAGTTTCAACTAATAGAGGCTAGTCGACACTGGATATGTAAGGTTTATTTAATTACTGATTGGATAAATAGATTTATTCTGCTTGATGGAATACACCTCGTGGAACTTGTAAGATCTTGCCTGGTCCTTGAAACACGAAAGGTTTGTAATTTGGTAAATTACAAGCGGTTTCTGGTACAGTAAGGTTTGCAAACTCAGCTAAACACAATAGTATATATCCAATAACTAGTCTTAACACCTGTGTGAAGCCTTGCTACAATTAGAACTAATACCACCAAAGCAAATACAGTATAAGCAAAGCCCAATGCTCTCATAAAAGGTATCCAAACGCCAGCTACGCTCTTTCCTGTATTGTGGCACGTCATGCTTGTAAGCGTAGGTACATTTAGTACTTAATTCCTCAGGGATTGGGTCAGGCATTCTCTCTGCTGACTCTAGTACCTTGGAGATTGAGGTATGGGATAGGCTTTTTGGCCAGAGATCCTTTCTTTCTAACAGTTTGATATATGCATATGCATGTATGCTTGTCCATCCGCGTTTGTGAATACACAGTCCAGTCGAATCATTCACTTCTTCTAGGAGGATTTCTGCTATTTCTAGCCTTGTAAACCCTCTCTGCTCTTCCAGTAGACCTGTTCATTTACCCGTCAGTTATATATCCAAAGCGTTATTAGGCTACTTACATAAGACCTTTAACGTCATAACAGATTTAATTTTTTCCAAGGAAAGAGCAAGATAAGGACCATCATAGTCAAGTATTAACGCTCTTGTAATCTCCTTGAATGCTTGCGTATGCCCGAAGAGGTATGCCGCGGCAGTGAGAAGCATTAGATTGCCAGCATTGCCTTTAGTGTGCCGAAGCCAACTTTTACTTGCAAATCTTAAGGTATTAACGCAATTATACTTATCTGCGGCGATGGTAACTGCGAGAATATTATTTGCACCGAGGGTTTAAGATACTTTACTATTCTGATGGTAAATAATAGAACAGATAATTTTCAGTGCAGAAGCGTTATCTTTAGGCAGTACTATCTCGGCAGGTCTATTATAATCGCGCAGATTATTACCTTCCTTCAAGTCTGGCCTAAGTAAGACAGAGAAGGTTTTCGAGGCTGCTATTAATAATATAGAATGGACATGGAGTTTTGTCTCTTCCAGCCCAACTAGTAGAATAAGGTCGCCATCTGGAGCAATACCGACAACTATGTTTGCCTGGGCGTCTTTTGGGTCTTCTATGACTGTTTCTGATAGACTTCTGCTGTTATAAGAGTGCGTTATTGACAAGTCAGACTATGTCGTTTCTCGTAGGTATTTAGCATTCTAAGGCCTTATGCCACATAAGTAATATATAAAGAACTATAAGTAATTAGTTAATTAAACGACTCTAACGATAGTAGTCGATTTCTGCTGGATTTTAGGTATCCGAATAATTCAATTATAAATCAGAGTCTATAACAGATGCATCTTCTGATTAGTAATCTGGATCGGTGACGTTTTCCTGATCGTCTTATATCAGATATTGCAATGCCCTGTCTGCCTGTCTCCTATCCGATTTATTGTGAAACTCATTATGGTATATAAATTTGGAAACCAGTGTATTACGTAGCTAGGAGAGGATAGGGTAAGTAGTAACCTGCACCGCTTTGGCCGGCCTCCTGCTCCGGTCGGCCTCCCGCTTTAATAGTATCAGGACAAGCCACCTAATCACGCCTATAAGTCTACTATACTAATACTGAACAAAGATGCATTATATAATCTATTTTATATTAAGCCTAGCGTATTTATTAATAAATATAAGCCAAAAGGGACCTATTAAGTAAGCTTTAATATCTATGCATATTTTCTTATTAGTTATACTATTACATAAATTAGAATATCAAAGTAATAATCCACCTAAGTTAATATTATACTTCCTTTATATTAAGAGAGTAGATATCTATATTATAGCTATACTATTAGTAGCTAATCTGGCCTACTATATAAAAGGTTATATTATAGGCCAGG